AGGACTATCGACTTTCTGATTGTGACAACCAAGCGGCATAGCTGCAGCAGGTTAGTTGCGACAGCCGACGGGTTGATCGTGGCGATCAGAACCGCTAATAGCAGGAGTCGAACTTTACTGCGTTGTGGGGACTAGAGTCTTTTGACACCTCGTGGCTGCAGCTAAAAAGTTGATCGCTGTGATCGATTTGTCGTCTTGGAGGACATACTAATATGACATCATTTGTTTTGTCTATTTTTTTTGCTAGAGTTTGTTATTGAAGGTTGAGATCGAGATTCTGCGATCCACTGAGGCTCGGCAGATATCAAAAATCGGCAAGTCATTTCAATCGCCTGATGGCGAATTTTAGACTGTCTCTTTTCAGAGTACAACGTACACGTCACTCGGGACACCCAGCAATGGAGGCGACCGAAGGCCTCACCGCGAGGTAACAGAAATATAAGCGTATCTTTGCAAATGAATAACAAATGGTTTTCAACCATTGAAATATAATTTCGAATGGTGGTTATCTTGCCGTAGGCAGGAGTTATTCACCTAAAATGGTCGCGGGTGAGATGAAATTAATGAAATAATCAGTCCGGGTTGCGGAGGGAGTGCTACGCTGCACGTGATTCTGATCTCTACCGCTAGGTGGCGACAAGGCATAGTGGGCAACCCCTTTTCTCTCGCACGTTCCTGTAGTGTTCGTCGACCTAGGTAAACGGCGCCGGGTGATTGCCACGACAAACCGACCTGTATGAGCAGAACCAAGCCAGATAGTAGGGCGACGTTTGATTACAGCGATCGAGCCGACCTAACAAAGCGAGTTGTAACACAACAACGAATCCAGCCGGCTGCCACAACCAAGCAGTTCGATGCTCACAACCAATTCATTCTCAACCAGGATAATCTGGTCACCACGACCAACCCTTTTTTTTTCCGTGTTTTTTTAAGGAACATTTTGTGCATTCTAATGGCTTAACTTGTCTACTATAATATGACACGTCTTTGTCCATAGATCTCTTATCTGGGGCTATGGACGAACATTTTGTTGATAGTTTAATGTACATAAAAAGGTTCCTTTACATTTAGAGTTTACCACGGCTAATTTAGAAATCAGGGGTGCAAAGGCTGCCGTCATGGTTTAGTTTTCGTGACAAGGCAAGAAAACCCGGTGCCATTTTGTCATCATCGTGACAAGAGATTTTTACAGAGCTCAAGACATTCATACTAAATCTAGAAGGACTTTTATTTTCCATAGAGAGACGCATTTTGGGGCAGATCTAAACCGAATGCAGATTTGAATCCAGCAAGTTATGAAGTGGCAACCTTTTCCTGGACAATTAGTTTTTTATCCATCAGTAATATGCAAATTCTCTCACTTGCTAGATTCCAATCTGCATCCGGTTAATGTGCCCAAAAGCGAATCTTTTTGTATCGTTTGTCCCGCGCCACCCCGTTAAAAAGATGAAAGAGATAAATTGTTACGTACCGCGTGGCATCCGGTCAATGAGATGCAGCACCTCCATCTCATGCAAGCAGCTCAGCTTCACTACTTCCAGAGAATTGCGGTAGTGGTGAATGGTGTGGAACAGACGCTTCTTGTCATAGTCTTCGACAAGCTCGCCAGTTGCATCTTCGAACTCAATCTCTAGAACCTAGACACAAAGCAAGAATATACGTGGCACTGTAATCAAAAATTTATGCAATTATAAACATAAGTTTTAGACAAGGTGGTGTTCGTCTACCTAACTCACTGACTAGTAGATTCAGAATTATAATAAAGTAATGGTAGCTAATGACAATCTCAATTTAAGAACAGTGTTATCAAAACGGCGATTTGATTATACGTCATTGACATTTCACAACATGCCTTTTTTTCGGTATCAAACTGAAAGCGAGACTCAAGCACGTACGGCGCAGCACCTCTACACTGTAAATCCGGGGTGTCCAGCAACTGCGACTTAAGGTGCCTGACCCGAAAAAATTACATTACATTGAATTTCCATCGAAATCCTACAGAAATCGGACAACCGGTTTACAAGTTCACCTTACACACGTGACTTACTTCGAATATATTCATTTTTAACGCACTCGTGTGTTCTGCCCTTATACACAAAGTAAAACCCTTAAACTCAACAGCTCTTGGAATGAGGTATTTTAGCGGTTAGAAGAAATGAAGAATCCCCAAGATGGCGGCCGCTAGAACTTAACAAACCGGCAATTGTTTTAAAACTAAAAATTCGATTTAGCCCTTAAATTTGTCTACATGTAAAATCTGGGTCTACTCTGAGTCTATCCTGAGTCAGTTCAAAAAATTTAAACCCCTTGGAACCTCACAGCAAGCGAATTTAAGAAACGTCGTCTCTGCTGGTTTGTTATGTTCCGTGGGGATTCTTCATTTCTTCTAACCGCTAAAATACCTCATTCACGAAAAGAACCTTGTTATGAGGTTTGAGAAACTTTTTTTGGCGTGTTAACCCACCTTGGCTTCGTTGGTGTACCGCGACAAGTTGACGGCTGGCCACTCGTACGCCACCCTCATTGTGTGCACGGCGGGCGCTATCTTCAGCACAAGAAGGTCTAGGAGTCCCTTCTCCTTGGAACGATAGTCGTGACTGTACCCCGGGGTGAGGGTGACGTGCGCCCAGGCGCGGGGGTCCCTGCACACGGCGCGCAACACCCGGCAGACGAGGCCCAGCCGCATCAGATCTCTTGGAGGAAGATAGCGGCAAAGTTGAAACAGCAGCCCGTTGCCCAGCGCCAGCAGCGGTGAGGCCTGCACCACAGCAAGGTAATTGGTTAAAAACACTCAAACGCCAACCTCGCGGGCTCACTTAATTTTCACAGGGCAAGGATGGCCGAGGCATGAGTAAAACCCCTACCGCACTGAAAATCACTTTAGGTAACATAATACAATGCTATTTGTTACGTTCGTGAGCGTGTGTAACATCGGTTATACATTTTTTTTAACGTAACAGTTTAATACAAATTACTTGCAGTAACAGGTGTTACTCAAATACTTTGTGTAACACAATTATTTTTGTTGATTGTAACTATAGCCATGCGTCCTAAACATAACTGGCAGTGTAACAGCTGTTACACTTTAGTTTATGCAACATTTGTTACGTATACCACTTTGTGTAACAACGGTAACGTAAAATTATGAATGGAACAACTGTTATATACGTAAACATACGTGTTGTTACATGAAGTAACTTTCAGTTGCGTACACTCTCAGACCTGTACTGATTTATTTATTAGCAGCTTTCAAAGGTTTTTATGCAGCAGGATTACAAACTAATTTGTTTCTTAGCAAACATATTCCCGCAAAGTTCCCAGTTGTTTCCGGGAAAGTTCCTGGTTCTCTCTGGCGCATGCGCAGAACACAAGTTACCGAATTTTCGTGTTATATTAATTTCGTATTTTCGATGATTTGTGAGCCTTGGAGGTAGAAATGAAGTAGGTCAGAATTGTTTTCAAACTAGTTTGCCGTCGGAATTCCTCCAAATGCGCGTTTTTTTCCTCAAAAGTTCCTACATAACCTAAAAAAATGAAGCGGGAAAAGCACATTGGGAAGTGCTTTCGCAAATCAACCAAGGGACTTCACGGAAAAATGTTTGCTGTGCATTGTCTGAAGTATCTCACTGATTAAAGAAAAAATTGTCAGTAATTAAAAAATTATTTTTTTCGTAATACTGATGAAAACATTTGTCAGTGGCTTATAAAGTTTTTTATGCAGCAGGAATAATGACAAGGGGTGAAAAAATTCAGGAACAGAATCAGAGTGTATCACTAAAAGTTACAATTCAAAGCCTGCGAGCAGCGTGCACATCAGGGATGGAAACGGTAATGAAATTATCGCTGAGCGAAGCTCAGTCCAAGTCGCTGAGGGGTCAGGCGTTGTCTCCGTCGTGAGTCTGTCTGTCTGTGTCTAACTCGCTCAGTAGACTACGAAACGGCTGCACCGATGACGAAATGCGAGTTTGTTCAAACATTGACATTTGTTGGGGCAGTTTAAAATGCATTTACTTTCAGGATTTGTTTAGTGTGAAATATCCAATAGTTTAATTTGAACTCGCGCGTAGTTTGTTGGGTGTGTTGGCAGCACTGCACTCGAGTGGGCAAAGAGCGCAAACGACACCTGCGCCACTTCAAGACTTTCTTTCTCTCTCACAAGTGATTAAATTGTCGGATTGTCAAACCGAGTAATTTAGTTTTAGTTTTAGAGTTGCGGAACTCAGCCTGCGAAGTTTCGCGAGCGTCCGGTGAGAAGAAACGAAAGTGATATTTCGAATGGTTTACGTGTTTACTTACGTAAGCTGGAGGGGGGAGGGGGGTACGGGTTCGGGAGAAATGTGAAAAGGTAACTATTGTTTCGGGGTCAAATTCACAAAAGAAAACGAAAATGTTTTATGCTCCAAGACGATCGGAATCGAAATGGCAGAGATATTCCCCACCAAATTGACAATTTGGTCGTTTTTTGACACTTTTGTCAGTTTGGGGACCAATAACTCTGCTATTTCAACCCTGATCGGCTTGGAGCATAGGACATTTCCTTTTTCATTTTGAAAAAAGAATCCAAATCCTGTATTAAGCTTTTAATTTTTTAACCTCGTAAAAAATCAAAATTTTCAATTTTTGTATTTTAACAAAATGTAATGCTGTGTACTTGTAGAATGATTGGAAGTCATACAATCGTTCATTAGGACATGTCAAAACGATTATTCAACCCACAACTTATTTTCACAATAGCCATGGACTTGCAAAGGACCGAACAATATTTTAGCCAATATCGCAAACTCAGGTAGGATAGGCCCATCGAAATCAGAACAAGGTATATTCTTTTCTTAAATGGACTAGCTTTGCCTGGAGTCACATTATGTTTAATGATATCCAATAAAATGGTGGGAGCATTGAAATTAAACTGTATGATACGAAACATTATAAATAGAACTTTCAATTTAATATACTTGAGTGACTCGTGATTCTTCAAATGTCTCAGAGAAAGCTGATAAAAAAGAATGAAAGGGTGACAAGTTTTACTTGTCGTAGGAGAGAAGTTTAAATGTATTTTGAAATTGAATTAAATATTAGGGTATT